GTTCGCGGATGTGCCTAACGGCTTGAAGGTGGGGTCAACTGATGCTAATCGTGAGACCGCTTCACCTGTGCCTCATCCGGGCCTCGCGTGGGCGTCGGTGTGTCCAGGCTCTCTCCGTCGTTCCCAAGGAGGGCTGGGCCCAGATCCTGGCCTTCGGTGGCTTCATCGAACTTGTCCTCAACAAGAAGACCTCCGAGCCAGGCCACCGCAGCCGAAAAGTGTCTCAACAGGCGGTCTCAAGGGATTGCGAGCTTGCCTCGTGCCGTCCAGCCAGTTGAGCTCTAGAGATTTGCAGGCAACTATGGCAAGGGCAACCTCGGACTCGGCTACCTTGGCTTCGGCAACTCCGTCCAGGATCCTGCCCTTAGGCCCGAGGGATTCCGAGGGACCTGTCATGTCCACGCATCAGACACCGTGGCATGATGCCACTTTTTTGGCAGGGCCAAGAAGTTGAATGCAGAGCTGGCCAACGGCCGCCTGGCGATGATGGCCATCATCGGCATGCCGCCCGCCGCAGTTGATGGACAACTATGACATACAGGATACATAGTCACGAAAGCTAGTGTAGCTAGCGTTGAGTAAGTCTCCCCTTTAAACATGGAACCCCACCAACTCGGTTGAAGCTGCGATTTTCTTGATGGTGTCGTATACCCGGGGGGGGGGGGTCTTGATTCTGTCCAGAGGTTTGTGAAGCATTGCCGTTAATTTCACAGGGGGTGGAGATCGGGATCTGCATGGAGCGCGCGCCGCGGATCTGGATCGATCGCAGTCTCCGGTGTGGCGGTGTGGGGTGTGGTGGAATGTGGAGTGTGGTGGTTGGGGTGGTTGTGGTGTTTGTGGAGTGTGGAATGTGGTGCTCTGTGGTGGCTATGGTGCGAGTGTGTGGTGGAGTGTGGATGTGTGTGGTGGAGTGTTGGGTGTGGGGTGTGGAGTGTGGAGTGTGGAGTATGGAGTGTGGAGTGTGGTGGTGGTAGTGGTGTTCGGCGCGTCTAATCCATGTTAGCAGGAATCCAGGCTAGCTTTCGTGGTCCTCGGCTGTTGCTCTCAAGTACACAAATGTATATCTATATAGAAATAGAATTATAATTAAATAATATGAAAATACAAATATATATATATATATAGAGATAGATAGCTCAGTTTTTTGTATTAAGCAAAGAATGCAAAGATATGCACGAGGTGGGTGGAAGAAATCTAGCAGTACCTACACAAGCGTCACTTCTGACACTTACGGCAGAGAACCCCGAACCCTTGCTTTAAAACTTAACATCGGCACGTCAGGTTGCTCGCCAGGTGTCGCCACATGTTGGTCGTTGGAACAAGTCGGTGTCGAATGTTCAATGGAATGTACAAGCGTGGTGCAAGACGTCATCACCCACACTATGTATGTGTGTATGTATGTATGCTTACGTATCTTTGCGCACACACATACATAAATTTATATCTGTATATCTATATATATATATATATAAATAGAATATATAGAATATGTGGAATATGTACATAAATAAATAAAATACAAATAAATAAATAAATAAATATATATATATATATATATATATATATATGTATACATATTTATCGATTTATATCCGGGGGTTCGGGTATGTTGTCCGGGTATCCCCCCCCCCACATGCTAGCCCCCGGTGGTTCTTCGAGTTGCCCGTGAGAAGCTCCCAGGTTCTTCCAAGATGGTCTCACAGGCTGGCTGCCTGCGATGAAGATGAATGCCCAACTCCGAAGCCTTGTAAGCTCGACACGTTAAAAAGTTGGTTCCCATGCCCTTGTCCCCAAATCCCCTGCATTACTTCAAGCCATTGCAAGCCTGAGCACGGCACCCGAGACCCCCCCCCCAAAAGCAGTAAATTCTGAGCCTTAACCCATCCGGCGTTACAGAAACCCCCCCCCCCCCTCCCCCAAAGTGCTGAAAAAGGCTCCGCCTGGGGCGACTGGGCACTGCGACTTGGCCGTAAGTATCTGTGCATTTGGGGAGGCGAAGGGTATAGGGCCTAAGGGGCTTAGGATTTAGGGGCTGTGCAGCCACATGGGCCATGACTGATGCCCGGCAAGACTGCCCTGGATGCAACATAAGGGTTTTGGGGCACAGCTGACGTCAAGAGTCTGGGTTCAAAAGCAGGGGCGCTGCTCGCTTCACTGTTGCTCTACATAGTCGCTGAGGCTTCTTGACTATTGTGTTGTGAGGCCCAAAGGTAACTTCAGGAGCCAGGAGTACGTCGTAACGGTGAGGGTTGGTTGTATCCTGCATGTTGTGCAACAAAGAGAAGATCAGAAAGAAAATGAGGATGAGGGTTCAAAACGCTTTTTGTGCAAAGAAGGTTTGTGACCCTCAATTAGCGTGCATCTCCCAAATCCTCGTCGCGGAGAGGTTTAAGCCCTTCCAGTCCTTTCGGCCCGACACTCGTCGAACCGAACCGCACGCAGACAAAATGTCCGAAGCCCGACGAAGCCCTACAAAGGAGTTCTACACGTTGGCTTTTCACCTATGGAAGTACATATAACAATAGATATGTATAATTATCTATATACATATATGTATATACATATATATATATATATGTATGTGTGTGTGTGTGTGCGTGTAACTGAGCATGTGGAGTATGAGAGCCCATCGAGGTACACCGACTCGCCGCTTCGCGCCTTCGAGGGTGAGCTCGGCGTGCCTTGGACACAGAGCTCACGAGAGCTTTTGGGAGGGAAGGCCCCCTAAGTCCTAAACCCTAGAACCTCCAGGGCCCAGGGTTTGTACAGGGCCCGATGGTCGGGTTTAATCTATGATATATATATATATATGTGTATATACAACATACGAATAATTCATTTAATGTGCATATATGTACACATGTAATGTATATGTATATGTATATGTATATGTATATGTATATGTATATGTATATGCATATGCATATGCATATGTATATGTATATGTATATGTATATGTAAAAATAAGACATGCTTTATTCTGTCTAGAAAATATAATGCACATCTAGCGCAAACTTACCCGCTCTGCCCATCACCCGCGGGCGACGGTCGCGAGAAGAAGGATGCTACGAAGCACCACTCGTAGTGTTCTGCAGCTTTGTCTGGGGCAAAGATGGAAGTACGGCGAGCGGGAAAGGTCGTTGGGGTGTGTCGGGGCCCGTATCAATGGCAGTTGGGAGTGTTCATTCGGCACTAAACCTTAATGCTAAACCACACACAAGTCCACCGTACATGTGTTTTTGGAGGTGCAAGCCCCTGTCGGCTTCTGGGATCCCATCGGGCTTTCCGCCGATGGCGACATGGACACCTTCAAGCGAAGACGGGCGGTCGAGCTGAAGCACGGAAGGATCTGCATGTTGGCATGTGTTGGCCGGGTCCTTGGAACAACATGCAAAAACAAACCAAATACTTACACATCCCCGAGCTTTGGCTTTGGGGTCGCTGTCTGACGTTGATGCTTAGCGGGCCGGGTTTCTATGCTACTTCGGTATTGGTCGCCCAAAACACGGCCCTGAAACAGCGTCGAAACCTCACAAAGCCGTCGCCGAAATCCCTGCGAGGTTACATCATCCCCGAGTACTTCAGGTGGCCTGGCTACCTGTCCCCAGAGACTTGGGCAAGACTGCAGAATCAACTCATGCAGAAAGGTTGAGTCCGTTGCCGGCTAAGGGTGAGTTGGTATTTGTACTTTTATTACTTTTATTACTTTTATTACTTTTATTACTTTTATTACTTTTATTGCTTTTACTACTTTTACTACTTTTACTACTTTTACTACTTTTATTACTTTTAGTATTTTTATTACTTTTATTACTTTTATTACTTTTATTACTTTTATTACTTTTATTACTTTTATTACTTTTATTACTTTTATTACTTTTATTACTTTTATTACTTTTATTACTTTTATTACTTTTATTACTTTTATTACGTTTATTACGTTTATTACTTTTATTACTTTTATTACTTTTATTACTTTTATTACTTTTATTGCTTTTATTGCTTTTATTACTTTTATTACTTTTATTACTTTTATTACTTTTATTACTTTTATTACGATTACTTTATTACTTTTATTACTTTATTACTTTATTACTTTATTTTTTATACTTTTATTACTTTTATTACTTTATACTTACTTATTACTTTTATTAGTACTTTTATTTTATTACTTTTATTACTTTTTTACTTACTTTTATTATTTTACTTACTACTTTTATTTTATTATTATTACTTTTACCTTTTATTTATTACTTTATTACTTTTATTACTTTTATTACTTATTATTACTTACTTTTTATTACTTTTATTACTTTTATTTATTACTTTTATTACTTATTACTACTTTTATTACTTTTATTACTTTTATTACTATTACTTTTTACTTTTATTACTTTTACTTATATACTTTATTACTTTTTACTTTTATTACTTTTATTACTTTTAGTATACTTTTATTACTTTTATTACTTTTATTACTTTTATTACTTTTATTACTTTTATTACTTTTATTACTTTTATTACTTTTATTACTTTTATTACTTTTATTACTTTTATTACTTTTATTACTTTTCTTACTTTTATTACTTTTATTACTTTTATTACTTTTATTACTTTTATTACTTTATTACTCTTATTACTCTTATTACTCTTATTACTCTTATTACTCTTATTACTTTTATTACTTTTATTACTTTTATCATTTCGTGCCTGTTTCAGAGGGCTTGTGGTCCGACACGCTTCATTTTGGGATGTCAAGAGCCAATTTTCTACACCCAACGCCGCAAAGAGCATGGCTACAACAAGCAACACAAGGAGCAGTTCATAGACAAGGTGACGATAATGTTTTGGTTCTTTTGTAAAAATTGCTAAAATCCAGAATCCTACTTCCTTAAACTCGGAGCTCAATGCCGGTGGACGAGAAGTTGTCCAGAGCCTTGAGGCTAGCCTGTCGTTGCAAGAATTGGCGTGGCTAGGAGGCAGGAAAGCTCGTTTGAGCCATGCAGGTTGAGTGATTAGTCGGAACAAAAGCGTGTCTCCGTCCACAGAACCTGAAGCAAGTAGTACGGAGTGGCGTTCAATACCCCCGCAAAAGAGCAGTAGCTCGGGAAGGGCGTTTCAATTGTTCAGGGTGCCGCCTGCAGGAGAGATGTCTGGTATCTTTGGCCGGGTCTGATAGGGCCTAGATCTGAGGCTTCCGTGCCTAGCTGGATGAATGGCCAACAACCCTAAACCCGAAACCCCAAACTCTAAACCCTAAACCCTAAACCCTAAACCCTAAACCCTAAACCCTAAACCCTAAACCCTAGCAGGATGCTGGTGGCTGTGGTGATGGTTGGTGTTGGTTTACGACACTTGTGTCGTCTGGGTTGGGACACGTCGAGCCACGCAAGTCATTGTCGTCGTTGTGCTGACTTGCGGGCGATTTTACACCTGAAAAGCTCTAGGCCTTAAACCCCGCAGGGCGCCTCAACCCCCCGCTGTGAACCAAACCCTAAGCCTGCAAACAAAAAGACCCACAATCAAGGAGCAGAGCCCCTAACCCCTAACCCCTAACCCCTAAACCCTAAACCCTACACCCTAAACAATCAAGGAGAAGGGCCTCAAGTTCGCCGACATGCCACATGGCATCGCCGCCATCTCCAAGGCTTCTCCGCTCGCGATGGCTTCAGGGGCTGGGAAGAGTGGTCAGAGGGACACTCACCAACGGTGAGCCGAGGAACTTCCTGAAGTTGTACAAGAGTCCGAACACCCTAAGCCCTAAACCCCAAGGGTGGCAAACAGAGACCCGAAGCCAAAAGCAGCCACACTTCAAGACCAAGGTTCCGCTCGAGGGCTGGCTCCAGATCGTCCTCTTCATCGGCCACTATGAGGGCTACTTCTGGCGTCAGGAGCTCATGGCTTCCTCTTTTGAAGTGTAGTGCTCTGAATTAGGGTTTCCTTGGAGGGCGCTTTTTTAAGGGTGCCATTCTATCAGTTTTCGGGTGGAGGGCTTTAAGATCTGGGGCGTCAGGCTTAATGGTTTAGTAGGGGGACTGTATTGACGACGCAAAGGTGCACATGATCCCACTTCAAGCTGCCCATGAACCTCCGTGCTGAGCATCGCCCTTCTCCTTTATATAATCCTGATAAAGCCATCAACAATTTTTTTATTAAACCCTAAACCCCAAACCCGTGTAACCCTAAAGTCATGCTGCGCCCCTTCTGCTGGTATTGGGTACTGCCCCCGACTTCGTTCCGACCTCCTGAAGCCGTGAAGATGTCTCCCTAAGCCCTAAACCCTAAACCCTAAACCCTAAACCCTAAACCCTAAACCCTAAACCCTAAACCCTAAACCCTAAAACCCTTGCCTCCGGAGGACCCCAAGCGGGCCCCGGGCGACTATGAGGGCTACGGCTTCCTCGGCGTCGGCAAGAACTTCATCATCAACGTCGACCCCATCAACTTCCAGGAGCCGGGCTGCTGGGTTTAGGGTTTAGGGTTTAGGGTTTAGGAGCGGTGCAGCCTGGGGACCTTGAGCCCGCCATGCCGTAGGTATAAGCTTTAACCGCGCCTTTCGGAAAGTGCGTTGATCTGTAGTTCTAGATAGACTCTACCTTCTTCTCAAGCCCGAAACTTTATGAAGTTTCCCGACGCCCTGAAGTGTCGGGACCCCTGAACTGGGTTCCCTAGATTCACGTTTCTCTTGGGGGTACCTATCATACTGCATGCTCAACACATCTAGTGTACCGAAGAAGTTCAGAAGGGAGAAAGCAACCCATCCCCAAGGAGCCGACACCCTAATCCCAATATTCAAAACGAATTATGTTAATTAGGATAACAATTAGGATAACAGTTAGGATAATAATTAGGATGATAAACAGGATAATAATTAGGATAATAGTTAGGATAATCATTAGGATAGTAATTAGGAAAATAATAAGGATAACAAAAAGGATTGAGCGTCACCAGGATGCGGAGGTCAAGAAGACCAAGCTCTCTGCGGAGCTTGCCAACGGCCGCTTGGCCATGGTCGCGCTGATGGCGATGCTCTTCCAGAACGGAGCCTTGGCGGTTCTGGGCTTCGGCCTGGCAGCGCTTCGTCCGTGAGGGGTGCAGGCTTTTCTCGCTATGGCCTTTCTTCCTCGCTGGACTGTTTGACGAGAGTTGAGGGTTGGTTTGGTTTCGGTTAGGGTTTGCCCCTGCGCAAAAGTCACTGGCACAATGAGGAGCCAAGAACAAAGACGCCAGTCCGTTTTTTCAAATCTTGCCTCCTGCGTGGCCCACTTGCTCCTTCAGCTCTCGCTCGCTCTGGGGTCTGGTAGTGATGCTTCGAAGTCGTCCGGTTACCAGGTAGTAGGTGGATGATGGACAGCCGAATGATGCCGAAGCCTGAAGCTGATTTCCGCATGCCAAGCGCAAAGGAACAGTGGGAAGTACCGGCCCGGCGATGTGGCTTCCTGCCGCCTGAGTTTGCAGCACGGATCGTTCTGCGTGTAAATGTCAAGACACCGCAGGGTTTGTAAATGCAGACCGGGCGATTTGGCTTCCTGCCGCATGTTAGTGTAAATAGTGTCACCAGCATAGGTGACCGTGCCAGGAGCATTTGGCTCTCCTTTTACAAGGCAAAAGACAACGGTTCGCTGCGGAATGGAGGGCGGAGTGACAGCTTTGCCTTTTGCCCGTATCTAGACCGCCTGCCGAGCATTGCAAGTGGCGGTACAGGTCCCTGCAACCGGCCATCCAAGTGTCAGCACTAGGGTTGCGAGCAGATACAGCAGACCAAATGCCCCCCCAAAACCACACGCCCCTAAGCCCCTAAGCCCTCAAGCTGCTTTCTGTGTGCTCGCTCTTTACGTTCGTGTGCTTGCAGCACAAAGGCTGCCAAGATCGTCCCCAGCGGAACAGGCCCAGGGCAAGTCCTGAAGCAACCACCGTTTGAAACTTCTGAAGCTCTCAAAGTCCCTAACGCCCGAGTCCTTGCCCCGGGCCTAAACCCCGGGTCCCGAAAAATAGCTCAAAGCTTATCCAAAACCCTACACTGCTTGGGCAGTAGCCACGTGGCTGCCGCGGCTGCCGCCTGCAATTGAGGGCATCCCGACGCGGCTTGGCCGCCGTAAGACGACCCCTGCCGAGTCAGTTTAGGGTTAAGGGCCAAAGCGGGGGGGTAGAACATAGGGTTTAGTTTAGGGTAGGTTTATGGTTGCAACTCTAAGACTGTTTCTAGCAACAAGCACTTCGTAAGAACATGACCTCTTGCTTTTTGCGAGTATATATGCGTGTTCTTTTTCCATCGTGGGCATGGTTCTCGTTGAGGGGCATCTTCCTAAGCTGTTGTTCATTCATCCTTGTACTGAAGGAGAGAATGTTCCATGTTTGCTTCCTCCCGGGTTGAGATGATTGCAGCGGAGTTGGCCGGTGTTTTGTCAATCTGGGCCAGCAACTTGTGCATGATTTCAATACATGTGAGCTTCCTCTCAGTGCAAACATGGCCGCTTTGAGCGCCTGTTCTGTTGCAATCATGAGTGATTGAAAGCAAAGGAGAATTATTTGGCGTACCGCCGGCTGACCGCGGGTGTAAGCTAATTTATAGCAGCGTGCGACGCTCTTGCTGTGCCTGAAGCCCGAACTGCCGAGTTCACACCCTAGCACCCGAAGCCGCGAAATCCCGAAGCTCGGACCCTGTGAGACTCCACTGCTGGAGGCACATCTCGCAGCGGCACATGCACGTCACGCAGCGCCCTTCGGGTGTGCGAGGCATCTTCCTCTTTTCCCGTGCTGCCTGACAAAGGGGCGCTTCCCAAGACGGTTCAGCATGTTTGTTGGGATAGTCTGAGTCTGGGCCTTTGCAGGCTTCTTCCTGTCCTTGGAATTGCGGAGGCTTTTCAAAGCATTTTTCATGCAGGTTCCATGCTGAACTCCAAAGAAGAGCTCCTCACGTCCGAGAAGTTATATGGCCCGGTGCCAGTTTCGGCCTCAACCCTTTTTACTGGGAAGATGGGGGGTTCGTTGTGCATTTTCAAAGCTGCCAGAGCCCTGCGTCTCAGCAACCAAAACGGACTTCACACTTCCGTGCAGTACCCCTGCATCGCTCGCGCGTGACCGCTCTTGATTCTGAGGTTTCCCTGAACTTGGACGTGGAGGCGGCCGACGACAACCCCATGATCCTCGCGGAGGTCCCCGCATCCTCCATCCGCAAAGACGACGCCCCGACCTCGGCCCACTTGAAGTGCGGGCAGGGGCCTTTGTTCAACCCGAAGCCTTGAGCCTCGGCGCACTCCCAGTGCCCCAAACCCTATACGCACACACTTGAAGCCAAAGCCCCAACGAAGTCCCCAACAGTATACCCTGGAGGCCCGAGTCCTTCAACCCTAAACCCAGGAGGGCAACGGCCAGCTTCGCAAGAAAGATGTGGCATCTGTCTTTGAATGTCCTGGCCTTTTAAGCCGGTGACCTCACTTCAACCACGTTTGTTTGTTTCGTGCAGATCTGGTAGTTTCCGAGAACGAGGGATCACAGTGCATTGGGGGTCGATGCGGCGAAACTCTCATCTGGGTTTGAGAAAAGTTAGAGAGGGGGAGAGAGGGAGAGAGAGAGTGCGAGCGTTTCTGTTCAGGTGTGGTTCCGAAGTGGATGGACGGTGAAGGACCCGAAGGTACACATCGTCCCGGTCTAAGGCCCTGATCTACAATGTATTTGGGGTTTGTTGCTGTTGAAGGCTCTCTTTCTTAGTAGTCGAGGCAGTTGCTGACGTGTGTAATCTCACCCTGCCCAGAGGCTGACCTCTAAGCCGCCCCAAGAAAGTTGGACAAGTAAGTTTTGGTCAAGGGAATCGTGCCGCCAAGTGCCTGGGCTGTGGAGGGGTTCCCCTATGTTCGGGAAGAACCATCTATGGTTTAGGGCTTCGGGCTTAGGCCCATGGCTTCTGGAGGGGCTTGTGCTTGTAACGTGTCGGATTTTGTGTTTGGGGCTTGTTTAAGGTCACCCCTAGACTCGGCTAACCGTCCCAAGGCCCTTTCTAAACCCCAAGAAAAACCCTTGTTCTAGGAACCCCCTCCTTCCTGGCAACGTCCAAATACCATAAATCTCAAAACTCCAAAGCCATCATAGATTGGGATGTCCCCCTTATACTAACAGTCCCTGATAGGGATCATTATAGTACCTCCTATTACTAACAGTCCTCGATAGGGATTAATTATAGTACCTCCTATTAAGGACTGTTAGTATAAGGGGGCACATCCCAAATCATCAACTTCAACCCTTGCGTTCCCAGGCTGTAGCCCTTCGCAGCCTTCAAGAGAAGGATCCCTCCGAGGTTGGGCTCTGCAGTCGGGTTTAGGGTTTATGGGCCTCGGGTTTCGGGCTTCGCCCCCCCAGCTGACAGCGAGGAGGCTGGGTTGAGAAAGGGCTTAGGGTTTTAGGGCTTAGGGTGTCGGGGGGTGATGCATCTTAGAGGGTGCGGCTTGTGGGCTTTGGGAGGCAGCCAGGTTAAGTCCTCTGAGCCGGAGCTTGAACGCTGGTAGCCCCGGACATGGTAACGATGCCCTCTCCCCAAACAATCAACCCCCCCAAAGTCCTCTAGTCCTAGAGTTCTGATCCATCAGGGGATGTTTTCCATAAAGGGAGATTGAAGCGTCAGGTGACGGCCTTCGACTCGCCCGCGCCCTAGAATGGGCCCTTAATGAAGACGCGCTCAGAGCGCTAGGAGAGGCTCTGGGGGGGGTTGGCCAAGGATACGCCTCGGGATCTACTCCGCGCTGTTGTCCGAGGCGCAGCTTCGGGGAGCCCGGGTGAACTTCATGATTCCCCAAAAAAAACGGCTGCCTGTGAACACAGATATGGTTGGGGTCAACGCAAACCCTTTAAACTACATCGGAACATCATCCCAGCCGCGCGAGCAGACTTCGCACCCAGCGACCTGAGCACTTGTTTCGGTCACTACTTGCTGGGGCCTGGGCTGCGACTTGTCATCAAGCGTCAGGCCATGGAGCCGAAACTCTTTGACCTCACCGCAGCAGGCATCCTCTTGTGCCCATGCGCATTCGCCAGCTTCGGGTGCAGTTTTCCGGGCTTGAGCTTACGAGCTATACACTTTCTTGTTCCAGTTGTCCCTCCCTTCGTACCAAGACTTCAAGTGGGCTAAGTATCCCGCATCCCCTTCAGTGTGCGGATATAGGATAGTGGGAATGTGCAAGAACGGGGGGATGCCTAAGGGGGATGGGATTGCTGCACATCATGCCAGGCTCCAGTTACTCCTTGTCTGTGGGAAGCGGCGGCATCACCGTCAGCTTTGCGTGGATCACAGATGTCCAGCGCGCTGGTTGACTGGTGCCGTCCATTGCACCTGCTGAAGGTGAGCCGTAATATGCTAGACTCTGACCTGCAGTCGGGCACATCTTGTGAGAGCGCGAACCCCAAGCTGAAGCCCAAAGCTTTCTACTACCAGGTTGGCTATTACGAAGCCTTCCCCAACCTGATTGACCAAGTCTTTCGTGCTTTCAACAGCCGGGGCCTTTGTTTCCAAGCTTGACGCACCTGCGCAAGCAACCCACGCAGCCCCGAAGCCCGCCTTGCAGGCTTCAATGAGAACCTCAACACCACTCAGCAGAACCGGTTTGAGCGGATCGTCAAGACGACCAAAGAGGCGTTTTGGTTATTTGGTCGCCGACGTTGGGGGGTTCTGTTCCTGGCTTGTCCGGCGTAGGCTCTGCAGACGTACGGCGACATGCCCTCCACCTACGCGTCGCAGGACTTGGCCAGATCCTCAGGATTCCCTGTTCAGGAATCATCTTTTTCGGAGGGCTTTAGGGGGGCTGCTGTTTGAGGTTCCAGGGCCGAGAGGGGCTTCGATCCCCAAAACCCTGGACTCTAAACCTAGGTAGGGTTTGGGGTTTAGGGTTAGGGTTCAAGGTTTAGGGTTTAGGGTTTGGGGTTTAGGGTTTAGGGTTAGGGTTCAAGGTTTAGGGTTTAGGGTTTGAGGTTGAGGTAGTGACAGCGCAGATGCAAGCGAAGCCCAGGAACGCCTGATCTCGCGCAACTCCCATGCAAAGGATGAGAGCGGGGATCCCAGACCGTTTTGTATCGATTTATTTTTGTTGCTTTTCAGGGTTTCAGTTCATACCCTCAAAACAGGGGCTTAGGGAATGAATCCCCAGAGGACGCCTAAACCCTCAGAGAGAGACCAAGTGACGAGCAAGACCTCCTACACCCCTGAGGCCAACGCCCTCAGCTTCTTGGGATCTAGGTACAAAGATATGGATGTTCCCCTTTATACGAACAATCCTTAATCGGGATTATCATATAGGGGGGTATTATCATCCCTACAAAGGACCGTTAGTGTGAGGGGCAACATCCCAGTACCAAGATCTCAGTGGAGCAGCCGAGAGGCAGTCCCCCTTGGCACCCAAGAGGGGCCTCTCACATGCCGAGCCTCAGCCCTGAACTCCCTGAGTCCGTCCTGCAAAGGTCCGGCAAAAACCAGCCCAGACGTAAACCCTCAGATTTTTTTTGGGCTTCATGCCCGAAGTCCCTCCTGAAAAAGGGGTTTTGGGTTTGAAGCCCTATCTCCAACTCATACATCAAAAGGAGGCTCTGGCTGTCCTACAGTTTTTGATGCAGAGCAAGGTCTTTGGGCGCCGTGTGGTGGGGCAATGCATCTGAACGAGCTTGCTTGCAATAGACATTAGAACTGCAATCCCTAAGCACGGATCGCACGCTCGATGCTCAGATCATGCAGCAGAAACCCTAGACCCTAAACCCTAGATTAGGTTGTTGTATGGAGGTTTGGGGGGGTACGTGGGTAAATATCCCGTTCAAGGATCGATTGATGAACAAGACTGGAACACGACTGTCTCTGTATGTCTCATACGCGCAGTGCCAACAGGAAGATTTTTGACAGAGGGCGACCTCCCCTTCCCATCTTTAGCCCCTACTGAGCGAGTGGCACAGTGTGTGTGTGTGTGTGTGTGTGCATGGGTTTCTTTAAGTTGTCAACCCCCGAAAGCGCTGAGTGGTTACCCCCTAAGCCCTTGGCCACCCCTCAGGCCTCGCAGCGTTGGCTCAGCTCAGTGGCGGCCCCAGAAACCACAAAAGCATCTGCGAGATTACAGGGAAAGGAGCAAGTGACCAAAAACCATTTCCTTATCATCCCCATAGCATAATGCTATCAGATCACACACGCGCTGTAAAATTCAATGGACCTCTATGAGTGCTTTGTTTGCTGGCGCTGTGCCCGAAGCCCTTCATGGGTTGCTGGCTTTCAGTGTTCACGCAAGATGCGGGGCCCAAAGCCCTCAACTCCAAACATCTCTCAAGCACAAGCCTGGGCCCCCCCGAGGCTTAGCTACTAGATGCTAATAGTTTCCTTTGGAATTATGCTTGTTTCTACACAAAAACCCAAGGGAGCTTTAAATCATATTTTTCTGCGCAGGGGGAGTAGAGTTAGATCCAGCGCTCCACGCCCAGATCTCACCAGCGCAGTGCGCGCGGCTGGCGACTTGGTTTTGTCCTGCTGGCATGATTTGACCCCAAGCCCTTAAACCCTGAATCCCTTAAAACCCTTAGACCCTTGCCCCTTTAAAACCCTTAGACCCTTGAACCCTTAAACCCTTAAACCCTTAGACCCTTGAACCTTAACCCCTCAAACCCTTAAACCCCACCCCCAGCCGGCTGGGGGTCTTGTCGCCTTTTGCCTGCCTTTGGCCTTCATCTTCCACGCAGGTCCAAGAAGATGAAGGTCACAGTACCGGGCTGAGTTAGGGGCCCTTCTTGGAGGTTCCTGTCATAGGGATTCGAGTTTTTTGGGGGTGTTTTAGCAGGGCCCTATTCGGGGAAATGCCTTTGACAAGTGGACCAATAGGCTTGTAGCTGTTGGGGCCTCGTTGTTGGAGAATGCTGAAGATATCCGGGTGCTGCTCAAATGCCATGTACAGCGCCAAAAGCTGAGCCTCCCTGTGGAGATGTGTTGACCAACGCCTTAGCGTGGCATGCCTTCCTGAAATGCAGCAGGGGCCACCCTAAACCCTAAACCCTAAACCCCAAACCCCAAACCCTAAACTCCAAACCCTAACCCTAAACCTGAAACCCTAAACCCGAAACCCAAAACCCTAAACCCTAAACCACAAACCCTAGGACAAAACACCTCAACCCTAAACCCTAACTTGACCGAGGCCTTGGCAATGGGCAATCTGGGCGACTTCGAGTCGACGGAAGCGCTGCCGTCTGCCCAGGGGCGATCACTGTGTTGGCTTTCTTGCTGCCAGGGTTTAGGGTTTTTTTGGTTTAGGGCCCAAGATGTAAAAAAGGGGTGTATGTAGGGTTTAGGGTTTAGGGCTCAGGGTTAGATGCTCGGGGTGTTTAGGGTACAGGGGATCAGAGTGCATCAGAGGAGCTGTGCTTGGACTAGCACAGAGCTTTTGATCATGTGGTCATCGCCGTTGTTCGCAGTCGCAGGAGCAGTAGCCGTAGTAATGACCCCCTTGAGCACAAGCAAGCAAGCCCAACCCGAACGACCATGTTTGGGCACAATAGCAGTCAACAACCGGACTGAACTACGTACAGTCATCAATTGTGGGCCTTGAGCTAAGCCATCAAAGGCGCCAGATTGTGTCCTTGCTGAAGCGGCCAAGCTGGGTGAAACCGGTGTGGGGGTGCCCAGTTGCTGCCTGGCGCAAGAAAACCCAGGCTACATGGTGGTTTGAGTTAGGGTCGCCTTGCATCTGTTAGGATTCTGTTGGTAGGATTCCTGATTGAGTTGCCCTCCTTTGACCTGTATGAACCCGATGTTTCGGAGCCCCTCTTCACTACATGGCGGACCTGGCAGCCACGCAATAGCGAGTTCTATCGAGTTGTGAGAGCATGCTCTTCACGGCACATGTGCTTGATTGATGTTGCTCTCCGGCTGCCCGTGTGTCAGCAAGCAGGCCCTGTTTTGTTCGACCCTCCGCTCGCTATGTCACCAGAGGTGGTTCAAGCTCCACGGAAGAGGCAAAGCAAAGCAAAACGAGCTTCCGCGGCGCACCCGAGCAACAAAGCTGAGCCAAAGAAGGAGGGATCTCTGCGCGTCCTCGGTCTTGGTGGCCTCCTGTGCACCGTGTCAGTGGACCTGCTGGCACCGGTTGCCGAGGCACAGAAGGTGATTGCCAAGTCTGCTGGAATTCCTGTGCGCGAGCAGCAACTTGTTTGTCGCGACCGTCATCTTTCCGCCAATGAGATCTTGAGTGATGCCCTTGGGGAGGAGGACGAGGTGACGCTCCTTAGGTGTGATGCGAAGGCCATGGCGATCAAGTCGGCGATGCGCACAGGATCCCTGGCGCTTGAACGGGCGAGGCGCTTGATGATGCAGCGTGCTGACGGACCTGTTAGCAATGCTTGAGAACCGAGATGTACGGAGAATGGGCTTGGAACGGGAGGATTCAAGAAGAACCTCCTTGACTCGGGCCCAGCGACGCACCCGAAGAAACCGGAGGACTGTGAAGTGAATTCAGTTTTGGACAAATTGCGCGCACAACAACTGCGTGCCCACGTGCTGCACCTTGTATAGCCAGTATAGCCTTGCAGAAAGCGCACAGCGACAGGTAGTGCCACGCCACGGTCAGGTTTGCAGCTCGACCGGAGGTGCTACAGATAACAGACTCGGGAGTCGCAGGGTTCCTCTTTTCGGATGATGTACCATGTACAGCCTGCGTCAGCTCCATGTAATCCGGCGCTGACTGGCTTTGCCAGCATGCACCGCGTGTACGATAGACTCGGATGGAAACTCGTGCCATCGCCAGGCTTGCGACTCATGTGTTTGTATTTGGGCATACGAGTACCACTGCAAGGGGGTTGTGTTTCCAGCAAGACCGGGGTGGATACGCTCATGAACACATGTCAATGAGACAGCTGATTTCGCGCGACGCGCGTGCTGAAAAACATTGGCCGAAGGAATGCCCGCGCTCCCGGCGCGATGCTGGTGTAAGTTGCATCTTGCCAGGGTTTCCCGCAGCCAGTGAAATTCTCCAATCATCCCAGGACCCCCAACCCTCGACCGGCATGAATGCTGGACTTAGAGTTCTCAAGAGCATGCATAATGGCGTTCCACATGATGTATTATGTTATGCTATACTTTATTGTACCGTACTATACTGCACTATAGTATACAAGACAATGTGACACTATACTTGGCTCAAGTTTCTTGGTCGTGTTGGCGCTTCCAGTCGATTGGGCCTCCATCCCCCAAATGCTCCACACCTCTGAACTCTCGACGCTCAGCCCCTTAAAAAGCCCGAATCTCTTAAACCCCAAAGCCGCAATCGCTACACCAAAATTCACAAAAGCCCGAAAAACTCTAAACCCCACAAGGTCACCACCGCCTGAGGGAAGAGTCGAGTTGGTCTCGCCGGTGGTGAACGTCCTCAGGCAGCGGAGTTTGCTGAAGGAACGTTGGGCACTTCTTCTGCGATGGTTGGGGGTTCCTTTCGAGTTCATGCGCCACAGTGGGTGGCAGATGCAGGGGCACCCCTTTTTTTCCCCGAAATAGAAGAGAATCCCGCAAAAAGGATACCCCTAGGCCCCTAGGTTCGTAAACCCCAATATGGCAGAGTTACTTCGGGAGTTTTTCAGGGTCTTTCGTTTCGAGGCATCGGCTGCGCGGGCTGTGGAACCTCTTCAGAGGCGTTAACTCCAAACGTCCCTAAGCCAACCCTGCAAAACCCAAAGCCCTAAACGCCCTACCGAATCCTAGGGCCTCATTTAGGGTTGAGGCTTTTTAGGGAACAGGGTTCCCTAAACCTTGAAGTGTGAAGCCTGAGCTTTGCACGTGACATGGGCATCAGGCCTGTGGAAGTCCGGGCCATGAACCCGCGCCCTGGGGACCCGAACGACGCGTGCGGCTTACTTTGCTGGGCTTGAGCCGCACTGTGGTGCTCGGGGTTCCGAGGTTTGGGGCTTCGCTAAGCCGAAACCCAAGCCCCAAGCCCTAAACCGGGCAGTTGCTGGCAGTCTGGTTCAAATGCAGATCCTGGTGAGCGCTGCGATTTGCGGCCCAGGTTGCCACCGTGTCGCTTTTGTACGGCGCCGTGGCCCCAGAGATTCTCAGATGTCGATAATAATCATAATAATGATAATAATAATCATAGTTATGATGAGTATTACTTGGGTTCGGCCGGTCCACACTAACAGTCAAATAACGCCGTGGCCTTATAACACACAGGCCAAAAATAGCACCAGGAATCCCAGTCAATTTTAGCATTTACCGGGTGCTTCTTTTTGTGGGTCTGCTGGTGGTGACTGTTAGTCACATAGCAGCAGAAATAGCACCAGAAATAGCACAAACAATAGCACAAAAAAATAGCGCCAGAAATAGCACAAACAATAGCACAAAAAATAGCACCAGAAATAGCACAAACAATAGCACCAGAAATAGCACCAGGAATCCCAGTCAATTTTAGCAGCTTAGCATTTACCGGGTGCTGTTTATTGTGGGTCTGCTGATGGTGATTGTTAGTCACATAGCACCAGCAACAGCACCAGAAATAGCACCAGAAATAGCACAAACAATAGCACAAAAAATAGCACCAGAAATAGCACAAACAATAGCACAAAAAATAGCACCAGAAATAGCACCAGGAATAGCACAAAAAAATGCACCAGAAATAGCACCAGAAATAGCACCAGAAATAGCACCAGGAATAGCAGGAATCTCAGTCAATTTTTTGGCATTTACCGGGTGTTTTTATTTGTGGGTCTGCTGGTGGTGACTGTTAGTGTGGACCGGCCGAACCCAAAGTATTACTCTTGCTCTTGCTATTAGTATTACTCTTCCTATGACTCTTGCTATTGCGATTACTATGATTATTACTGCAATTATTTTTTCTATTACATATAATATTATTATTATTATGATTACTATTACCATTACCATTACCATTACTATTACTAGTACTATTACTATTATTATTCTTACTATTACTATTATTATTACTATTACTATTCCTATTCCTATTACTATTACTGTTACTATCCCTAAACCCTATTACTCTTACTCTTACTCTTACTCTTACTCTTACTCTTACTCTTACTCTTACTATTACTAGTATTATTGCTATTGCTATTGCTATTGCTATTGCTATTGCCATTACTATTACTATTACTATTACTATTACTATTACTATTACTATTACTATTACTATTACTATTACTATTACTATTACTATTACTATTACTATTACTATTACTATTACTATTACTATTACTATTACTACAATTATTATTATTTTTATTGTTACTATTACGATTACTTCTGCTATTACTATTAACTATTACTCTTACTCTTACTCTTGCTCTTACTCTTTTTCTTACTCTTACTCTTACTATTACTCTTACTCTTACTATTACTATTACTATTACTATTGCTATTACGATTATTATTATTGTTATTATTATTATTGTTGTTATTGTTGTTATGATAGCAGGGTTGTGCAATAATTATTATTACAGGGTTGTGCTTTGGGACATTTCTTCAAGTTCCCTTCTTTCCTTGTCAGGGAAGCTATTCATGAATAGTTCTCAGAGGGTTTACACCCCAACTCAGAAGAAGCCCCAAGCAATTCCACATGTGCCCTGGCATTCGGTTCTTCCCTCCCGCAGGTCAGCGATGTCCCCAGCCGTGCCCAAGCTGCAAGCCACGATTGTCACCCAGGGTCCGAGTGGAGCAGACCCTAAACCCTAAACCCTCAACCCTGTGTGCGCGCAGTGCGGGTGGCGAAACCCTAAACCCTAAACCCTAAACCATAAACCCTAAACCCTAAAGCCTGAAGCCTGAAGCCTGAACCCTAAACCAAGCAGGCGTGATTCTAAGCATCGCGTCGGCCATGCTCGGAACGGCCGCCTTTGACCACCTGCGCACGGAGCAGCAGCTAGGCGGCCGCCTTACAGCTGACGTTTGGCATTGTCGCACTCTTCGTGAGAAGCCATAAGTCAGTGTTGACCGAGAATGTTGCCGAGGCTACGTGGTTGGACTCTCAGCAGGTGATGATGCAGGTGAACTTGGTTGCCAGATTCAGTGTCCATAGGAGAAACATCCCAGGTGTGGGGTGGCATGGGCATACAGTCCAACATCTTGTACGTGCTCGGCGCCTGGCATGCGCGGTTCTCTCCAGGGCTGCAAGTACACGGATGAACCCAGATGCTGACCCTAAACCCTAAACCCTAAACCCTAAACCCTAAACCCTAAACCCTAAACCCTAAACCCTAAACCCTAAACCCTAAACCCTAAACCCTAAACCCTAAACCCTAAACCCTAAACCCTAAACCCTAAACCCTACGCCCTAAACCCTAAACCCTAAACCCTAAACCCTAAACCCTACTGTGGGCACTGCAAGCTGCAAAAGACCCTCGGCCCAGGAAGGCGCTGGTTCAGGGAAGCAAGGTGAATGCCGACGAAGCGGAGGCGGCAATCGAAGGTGCCTGCTGGTTCCCTAAACCCTAAACCCTAAACCCTAAACCCTAAACCCTAAACCCTAAACCCTAAACCCTAAACCCTAAACCCTAAACCCTAAACCCTAAACCCTAAACCCTAAACCCTAAACCCTAAACCCGGGATTTTGGAGCTCAGAAGGGACCCCAAGTCTTATTCCCCTATATAATCCTAACACATACCATATATAGATTATAGTCCCTATACCAAATCAGGGCTAATACATACCTTATATGTACCTTATATAGTATAATAAAGTCCCTAGGATACATACCTTGTATATACCTTATGTAGTATATAGTCCCTATGTAAGTAAGCACGCCCTGCGATGTAATTCGGGTTCAAGGGGCTCAGAGGAGCATCAGCTCGGCCAGGTCTCTTCACCCAGATCATGCCCAGCATCCTCAGCAACATGCCGCGTCCCCAGTTAACCCTACGCCCTAAACCCTAAACCCTAAACCCTAAACCCTAAACCCTAAACCCTAAACCCTAAACCCTAAACCCTAAACCCTAAACCCTAAACCCAGTTGAACTTCTGCCCAGCCACCAGTCTCGAGATGAGTGCATGGCAGCTTTCTGCTACAGAAATCACGAACGCATGGTAGGCTCCAAAAAGCCCTATACCCATGCAGTGCAGCTTACTCTGCTGGGTTGGCTGGCGTAGAGATCCCAGGACCACCAAGGACTTCAACAGCCAGGTGGGGTTTTTGCAACCTTTCTGCATCTCGAGCCCTGCAGCCATAGGCGAGAAGACATCTTGAATGCTTTAGCAGTTGGGGGCCTTTGGGTGGGCATGCTTCAGGGGAGGAAGGAGTCCCACATTCGGTTGTTTCCCCCCCCCCCCCCCCTGTCTGGACCGTACCAGAACACCAGCGACATCTCGCGGGAGCCCTATGGAGTGCAACATGCCCTCTCAGCCGCTCCAGTTTGTTCCCAGACCCCGGACCGAAACCCACAAACCCATAAGTTGCTGCGCGTCAGGTCCCCTTTTGAGAGCAGTCGTGCATGAGGAAAGTCGCTAAGGACCTAAACCCTAAACCCAAAACCCTGAACCCTAAACCCTAAACCCTAAGCCCTAAGCCCTAAGCCCCAAACCCCAAACCCTAAACCCTAAACCCTAAACCCTAGCCCATGATACAAGGCAACTTACCTCGGCCTAAGTTGAAGAAGCTCCCCCCCCCAAGAAGAGCGGCCCTGAGCAGGTGGATGCCTACCGACAGCAGCTCCTCGAGCCCCCGCTGGGCGCGCGCGCCCCTCGAGAGTTCGGGGTTGGCAAGAAGTTAGGGTTTAGGGTTTAGGGTTTAGGGTTTAGGGTTTAGGGTTTAGGGCAAGTTTAGGCCTAGATGCGGTGTTCTTTGTGGGTGTAAGTCTTTGTAAGCGCTTGAGTCTCACTTCCAGGCATATGTCCCAGCTCCTGGGTCAAAAAGGCCCTAAACCCCTTGGGTGTGCCCAAAGTAGCTTAAACAAACAACCCCTAAACCCTAAACCCTAAAACCTAAAACCCTGAACCCTAAATTCTAGAAGCCTGTTCGATGTGGGACCTAGCCGCTCTCGAAGCAGAGGACAAGAAAGCGCCATGTCTTGACAGTGGATACCGCTAGGCTCTACATCTTGAACTTTAACATCTATACATTCTGCGTCTTGAATTTTCTACATCTTAAAAGCTTCAAAGCGTCCTATATCTCAAGGAATATATCTCGAAATTTTTCATCTTTAAATCTAGATCTAAATATCATATATCTTGAAATTCTCTACCTTAAGCTATAAATCTTAAGATCCGATGTCATGACATGATATCAAAATTCGCACGTCTGGCGCGAGGCCCGGCAGATTGCGCTATCTTGTTCGACACAGGGCTCTCTAAGTTCAACGCATGAGTGCTGTCGCCAAGAATGTGTCTCGAAGACAAGAGCGGCCAAGAAGGCAAATAAACACGACGGACGAACACCCCAAACCCTAAACCCTAAACCCTAAACCCTAAACCCTAAACCCTAAACCCTAAACCCTAAACCCTAAACCCTAAACCCTAAACCCAAAACCCAAAACCCTAAACCCTAAACCCTAAACCCTAAACCCTAAACCCCAAACCCCAAACCCTAAACCCTGAACCCTAAACCCTCAACCCTCACATTAAATCCCGGTAACCATGGGAGCCCGCGACTTGGAAGCTGCGCTGGGATGCGGCTCAGAGGGCCGGTATGTATAGAAATATATAGATGTGTATATATATATATATAGAGTTTATTCATGCTATGATCTACTTTATAGTGTCTATTCTTTCTTTGTATAGATATATCATACTATGACATACGAGTATATCTAACTATACTACCGCTTGCAGTGCGCCACCACTCAAATTGGGGAGCCCCATCCGATGCGGCATGCAGCATGCATGGTGGAGGTGAAACTGTCGTGTGACTTTGGAGTGTCGTGTGGTTTCTCCGACATTCGTTCGGCCAGGCGTGGCAAGACAGCCCTAGAGCCCCAAAGCCCCAAAAGCCGCAAGTAACCCTGAACACCCCACACTCGGACTTGCACTCAAGAGCCTTGCCCGCCTGCGCTAAACCCCTTAAGCCCCTTAAACCCCCAAAGCCCCGAACGCCCTAAACTCCCTAGACTCCCCTGTCTAACAACCCCTGAAGCCCGAAAACAAGCCCTAAACCCATGATCTTAAGAAACTCGCTCTGGACTCTGGACAAAGCCGAAACAATACCCTAAACCCTCAAGGTCTGAAGAAGTGGGGCACTTCTGGAGCCACATCGTGCAAGGCAAGTGATTGGATGGGGGGCTTGCGGTTGAGGGCCTTTTAGAACTTAGGGGGGAAACAGGACTTTTTTTAGAATTTTAGGCTTTGCAGGTTTAGGTCGAGTTGGCAAATCTTGAAACATCACGGCGGCTTCCAGACCTGGATCCTGAACATGGCCATGTGCTTCGTAGAGGCTTTAGCCTGGGCTTGGGATAGTTCGCGGCTTAAAGCCCTGCACTCGGAATTCAAGAAGCTTGCGGAAACCTAGGCTGCATCGGGTGGCCCTCAGCAGAGCCGAAACCTTCGAAAGCACGGTGTACTGCGCCACACAGGTAGCGAAATGCCTGAGCCTGGAAGCCGAACAACGCTGACAAACACGCACGAACCCAAACCCTGTGAACTAGATGGTGCACGGCGCCTAGAACGCATGTGTGGAGTAGAACGCATGTGTGGAGTGAGCGTAGGGGCGCTTTACGTTGGTTTTTTCAAGGAATTCGGCGTTCGGCTCCATTTAACAACACAACAGGGCCAAACACCTCCGGGAGAACTACTTCGGGGTTTGCTCAAGATGTGTACTTGCAAGCTTGATGAGTGGTCTTAGTGCATGTTCACAAAAGACATGAGCGCTGCTGACTCCACAAACATCCCTGTGCAGCATGTTATACGCTGAAGCAGAAAAGCCGCAAACAACAGCGTATTTGGCATGTTCGCGACGGTCCCCAATGCTCGAGACAGCGCTTCTTGATCCAGACACGCCCAAGCAAAGAGCAAAATCGCTGTAAATGCTGCTTTGGGCATGTTCACAACAGACATGAGCGCTTGTGACAGCGCGTCTTGCTCCGACGTCAAACATCCTTTTGCATCATGATGTGTAAAGAGGCAAAGGTGCGTTGAATGCCCGTATCTTTGGGCGTGGCCGCCGTAGGACAGACGTCGTTATTCCTCCCCCCTCTTCATCCCCGAAACCCCCCGGGAAGAAAATCAAGAAACATGCACGATGACCCACACGGCTGACTACGCGCCGTGGTCCAACTAGATAAGCGATCACCCAAGGTTCAATGCCCAAGAACACTTACCCGCGCAAGGGAACCCCAATTTAGAACCTCCACCTGTTCCCCAACCCCAACTTTGACGCAGGTGGCCAGTGTATGAACCTCCTAGACGAGGTCACCGAATTGCCTTCTTCGTTGGAGCTTTGGGGAGTCCACGGTTGGGTTTTGGGTTTAGCCTTTAAGGGGCCTTGATGCAAAAAGGGGGTTGCGTGACTCTTGCTAGTGACAGGGTCTTGAGAGCGCCCGATGCAAAAGGGCTGAGTGGGTTTGCTTTTGGAAGCCCCGAGTCTCAGGCCTAGACCCGACTGGGAGGTTCATGGGTAGCTATAAGCAGGGTTCTACGTGCCCAGGGGTTAGAAGTAGACTTGCCATACTTAGAGCCCTACTTTACAACTAGCCATGAACCTCCACGAAGGATCCCGGGCGCTCCAGAGCCTAAACTTGGGATGTTCCCCTGTCTACTAACAGTAATTAGGGATTATAATAGGGGCTGCGATAATCCCTACGAAGGACTGTTAGTAGAGGGGGGCACATCCCAAGCCTCAACCCTGAAAGTAGTGGACCAAGGTGATCTTGGGGGCATAGACAGCTACTGTAAACTCCCTGCACTGACTCCCGACCAGGCGCTGCAGTTCCTGAACAGCGAGCGATGCAACAAAGAGTTGCCCCGATCCGAGATGGTGGCCATGTTGGAACCCGTTTCGGGTTCGGAGGGGCTTTTTGGGGGAGGGTTTGACGAGCCTACGGAGGGTATTTTGGGGGGTCCAGGGCGCCAGGTGGGTCATTGGTGTGCCACGGCTTAGTGCAGTAAGCGATTGCGGGTGGCCCGAAGTGCCAAGAAGGAAACCTACCGGGCTTTTGCAAAGGAGTGGGCCGAACTGGCCTGATGGCAATGCGCTACTTCGTGGGCTGAGTCGGGGTTACCTTTCCGTACGGTCACTGAAATCCACCACTCTGTTCGTCTGCATCTTCTTCCTCTAGTGGGGGGGGGGGGTGCTTTACGTTGCGTTCCCTTGTAGGCACCTTTTCTAGTAGGATGCCCCAACAAAACACCGGAAAGCAGAAATAGTTCTCGATGGACTGTATTTCTGGCTTCTTAGAAACATTCTTAGCGTGCAAAACATCCCTAAACCCTAAACCCTCAACCCTATACCTCGCAATGGGGGGTCAGGCTCGCCGAGACCTGGAACAAGCTCGTTTTCGGCAAGCTCCCTGGGGAGGACTGAGAGCCACAAGTACTGCTGACATACCATCGGGAATCGGCAGCGATCAGAGGTTTGGAAGGGCAGGTTCTCCTAGCAATTCGGTGTGAATGGGATGTTGTGGGCTTATCACCATTCAGGGCTTCGTGTGCCACTGGCGATTCAGGACACTGTGTTGCTAGAAAGCCGAATCTACGTACGTCACCTGGAAGAACCTCTTCTCAAACTTTTTGGAAACCACGGCCAGCGCCCGAACGATTGGATTTTCTTTCTTTCTTTCGGCTTGCAGGACGGGCAAGCTCCAGCTCCTTACCGGAAGAAGCTGACAGCAGCACGCCTAGCTGCTAGCTGCTAGCCGCAACCATCACGTTTCTGCGCTGCGCAGCCTCCGGATAGCTTGCTGGATGAAGCTGTTGCGTCCAATCCTGCACGAAAGGCTCAAGCATTGTTAGTTGAAGAGAGGATCTCAACAAAGAGTCCCGCCTGCTTGAAAATCATGGTGCAGGTGGAAGAGCCTCAGGACTACGTGGACGTGCTTGCGTCCCACCGCGGAGGGTTCAGCTTTGAGAACTGCAAGAGGAATGCGTACTTGGCAGCTCAGGCCGGAATCAAGCCGCCCACCGCCATGAAGTCCGGCACCACGATTTGTGGCATTGTTGTGAAGGATGCAGTCATCTTAGCCGCCGACACCCGAGCCACAAACGGCCCCATGGTCGCGGACAAGAACTGTGAGAAGCTACACTACATCGCGAAGAACATCTTCTGCGCAGGCGCAGGCACTGCTGCAGACCTTCAGCACACCACGGAGATGATGGAGTCGCAGATCGAGTTGCTTCGCATGGCCACTGGCACCCAGCCTCGAGTGTGCACAGTTGTGAAGCGACTGAGTTCCATGCTCTTCAAGTACCAGGGCTACATCGGATGCGCCCTAGTCCTCGGAGGATTTGATGTGACTGGGCCCCACCTGTACCAGATCTACCCTCATGGCTCCACGGACAAGCTTCCCTTCACCACAATGGGTAGCTTGGATGTACTTTGGGATAGCTTTACATTTCCCTTCTCTCCCTTTAAAGGGAACCTATTCATAAAGAATTGTGCAAAGGGCTTGAAAGCACCACGCAGGTAGTGGCTCCTTGGCTGCCATGGCCATCATGGAAGCCGAGTACAATGAGAACCTGAGCATCGAGGATGGCAAGAAACTCGTAGCCAAAGCAATTCGAGGGGGCATCTTCAATGACCTGGGCTCTGGTGGCAATGTGGACGTGTGCGTGATCACAAAGGACGCTGGCGGCACCATTCTCAGGAACTACGAGAAGCCCAACGAGCGCAAGTTCCGGGCTCAGCACAAAGCATTCCCGATCGGCACCACACCAGTGCTGAAGGAGGAGATCATGAAGCTGGTCTCGGTCGAGGAGGATGTTGTCATGCGCGACTGAGCAGCCAGTTAATTGCAAGAGCACCCTTTGCCAAGGACGTTTTGTAGGTGCTTCTTGGCAGCAGCTTGCTGTCCAAGTCGGCGGGAGAATGCTTCGTACAGGATTGACCGCACCTCTATGATGCCAACAGGGCCAGAGCATGACACTTTCCAAACTCCTGGCAAAAAACATGCCGAGTGCTTCGCTCCCCTCACTTCTGCTGCCCGAGATACGTATAAGCACGTGCACATGCCCACACGTGCACACGGCGAAAGGTGAAGTATTTCGCCGGCAAGGCTGGGGGTGCGTGTCACTGCCTTCACTCATGCCCCATGCCTCTGCCGTTGATCAGGAACTTGTGTGGTTTCCCTATGACTCCTGATGCCGCTGCGGCCAGGGCAAGAATCCACCTGCACGGCCGAGTGCAGCGGAGGCACCTTGAGGGCAACCGTCCTACTGTGTCTTAGAAGGAGGTGTCATCTGAGATGTAGGCCCCTTCCAGTAGCCGAGGTGCTGGGCCAAATTCCCAAGTGCCACATTCCCAGCACCTTGTACTGAACAACCCTCAACGGCGCAAAAACCGCCCGAAGCCCAAAGCCCGTGGCGGAAGATGCCCCTGTGGAGGCACGCAAGATCTGGCACAAGCATGGTGTGGCGCCATCCGCCATGGCACTTCTCGAGACTGAGCAGCGCCCTGAGAGAGAGCGCCCTCTGAGGTCCGAAGCGGGATCAACTTGGGTTTAGGGTTTAGGGTTTAGGGTTTAGGGTGTTTGGTTTAGGGCTTCTGAAGCCTCAACCCCCCAATCCGAAGCCCGAAGCCCTGGCCGAGGTGGAAGAAAGCCAAGGTGGTACCGGCCGCCGACTCGAAGGTGGGGCTCGGCGATTTTTCTGGACGCCGAGAAACACCCTGGGTTGGGGGCAAATTTTGGGGACGTACGCCCGAAACCCTGGATGGGGAAAAAGGCCCTCAAACCTAAAGACCTTCCGAAGCCCTGCTTGCCGTGCAGGAGTGTGAGAGCCAAAGCCCTCAACCCCAAATCCTAAACACGGGCCTGAAATCTCAAGAAAAACCGAAGCCCCAAACCCTCCGTCTCGCCGAACCCCTGGTCGCGAGGTCCGAGCCGAGTTGCTTCAGGACCCGGTCGGCGGGATGTGGCTCGAAGGGCTTGGGGTCCAGGTTTAAGGCTTGGAGGGTTTCGGGCTTTTGAAGGTCTCAGGTGCAGATTTGAGGGATGGTTCTGAGGGTTTGGGCATGGAGGTCTTCTTCTCACAACGTCTGGACGAGGCGGTTGGGTTTCGTAGGGCCGAAGCCCTGAACAGAAACCCTAAACCGTCCCTAAACCCTAAACCCGAAACCCTAATCCTAAACCCTAACCCTAAACCCCTCAACCCAGGAGGGTGGCTACTTCCCCACCGACCTCAACTGTGGCTCACAGTGGCGCAGGGCTCTCACAGGGGCACCCACAGAGTTCGGAAATCTTGTCAGAACTCCGAGACTTCTGGCAAGAAGACAACAGCAGGATCCATACCTTTGCATTAAAAGAGGTCAAGCCACAGCTTCACAGAAATCCTTCCGCCGCTTGAAGTGGCATCAAGTCGGCGCCGAAGTCTCCTCAAGTGAAATCCCCAAACCTTAAACCTGTAAGTTTGTATGACCTTTGGTGTGGCTAGTTACTTGCGGTTGTTGGCGCCGTGTTGGCCTGTGGTGTATGTCCATGTATGTCCTGCAGGACGCAGTCCGCCTGTGTTTTAAGCACTTGTCAGTCATCCCGAAATTGTTACCCTGCAGTGTGGCCGTTCGGCTCGGCCGGTGGCAAGAAAACCCCTGCTCCCTAAACCCTAAACCCTAAACTTTAAACCCTAAACCCTAAACCCTAAACCCTAAACCCTAAACCCTAAACCCTAAACCCTAAGCCCTAAACCCTAAACCCCAAACCCTAAACCCTAAACTTCTTGAGGCGCGGCATCGCCGACTGCAGAGGCCATCATGCGGCAATCGACTGCAGGCACTGCTCACGAGATCCCCCCAAACCCGCGCGTTTGAACTAAGACTTTGAATAGCATCCAGGGTTTAGGGTTTAGGGTATGGGGTTTAGGGTTTAGGGTTTAGGGTTTAGGGTTGCCGGCAGCCTCAGTCCGTGCTTAAAAAGGGTTTAGGGTTTAGGACTTCGGGTCCGTGGTTTAAACAGGTCTAGGGCTTAAGGCTTAGGGTAAAGCATTCAGTCACTGAAGCTGCAAAATGCAGATTGTGTTGAGTATGAGTGCTGTGCAGTGGCGGGCCATCCGCGGAATAGGGCCCCAGTCCGGTAGCTCACAGACGGTGGGACTTCACGGGTTCTGTCACACATGGCATGCCCGTTTGCTGCAGGTGCCATGCTGCACATGCAATCTCCCACGAGGGCCTTCAGGAAGCCTCGCGCGGCCCATGGCCTCTCGTAAACATGGGTGCAGAGCTCACTCAAGTTGAGTTCCTCCTTGTCGTGGTCTGAGTTAGTGTATATCATTGCACAGAACACCATGCAAGTCTTGTCTTCGTGCCCGACCCGATATGCTCCACGGAGAGGCGTGCCCGTTTTGGAGGCATTGCAGGCTTAGCTAGTTGAATTCGGTTCGGCCGGCGCCTTTCATTACTAAGCGTCTCAGCAGAACAACACCGTTAGTGGGCCAGTGTGCATCCCACCAAGTGGTTTGATACGCGGCTTCAGAGGTGAAAAAGCGGTAGCCTGAGAGCCTGCCGCGTTCAATCAAGCGATTGCAATTGCAACTTCTCGTAGATTCCTTTACGCATGGAGTCCTAAACTGTGAGAAGATCGATTGGTGTTCGAGGCTTGCTGTGACCCTGCAGTGAACGTGGCATGGACCCCTCAACCTAGACCTGACAAGCCTCAGCCCCAACTGTCGCGACGAATCTGACGGGTGGACCATTGCTGCAAGTTTTCAGGTCCTTAACTTGAAAGCCAGAGGCCTAGCCCGCAGGGTCGAGGATGACCTGGAAGGTAGCGGACACGAGCCTTCCCGAGAGCTTCAACCACAAAGTCCCCCCCACAACTGTGTGTTGAAGTTTAGGCCCACACTGGCAACGACGAGGTCCCAGTTTAGATGTAGAGCCTAACGCTAAATCCAAGCCTCAAAACATTCAAGCCACAGGACAGGCTTGTTGCCTGAGGAGCTGGGTGCTACCTGTGCCCGGGTGTGGAAGGAGCGCCTGTCCTCCCAAGATAATCTGTGCGGGTTCGAGCTGATATATTGGGCGTGCGCTGTTGCTTTTTGGCCGGGGTCGGGCCCTGGGTGTATGACAGCAGCTATAGGATTTATAAACCATGTGGTGGTCTCAAGGTTGAGGCGCAAAGTGGGTTCTTGGCGGTGGTTCCAAGCTCTGACTTTGAGAGCGGATGACTGCCAGTGTCGTAGACTCCATAGACCATGCCGAAACGTTCACGAGGACTTTGACCTCATTCGCAGCGACGATCATCATCTGAATCAGGCTGGCCCTTGCTGTCTGCACACCCTTGAGAGAGTTTAGTTTGAGCAGCCCCCCTTGTTCGCAGCTTCACAATTTAATGCAAACCACCTGAAGGCCAAAGCCGAAAGCCTCGGCCACACTGCCCCACACACACAGGGAGACAGGTGCATCCTCAGCAACCTTGATCTCAAGTGTCGATGGCTTTTGCTCGAGCCCGAACTTGACGGCAAATCCTTTCACCTAGCCTAATCCTTATTTTTAACCCTCAGCCTTACCTGACGCTTGGACTTTAATCAGGCCCAGATCCAAGTCCCTGAGCCCAGTCTAGGAGACAATTCAATGTCTCATTTTTGACATGCCACGGCCACCACCATGGCCACCTTTGAAGAGTTGAGGCACCCCCCAAAGCGGCCCAGCGGCAGTTTTGGGACCCTGGCTGCTGCCAAGCGGCGCCGGCAGAGGCAGCTTCCTGCCGATGCAGATGTAGCAGAGGAAGACATTGACGAGACCTACGTGGAGCTGGAAGTGGTGCCGGAGAGCAACGATTTTCCCGAGGAGCTGATGGCGCCGACGACGCCCGAAGCACCCCTCGGCCAAGATGCAGTTGCAGCAGCCTTCTGGCAGGATTCCCTGGAAGCCGAAGAGGACGATGGAGAGGCCTCGACGCAGCTCGATGTGGAGGCGGACGAGGCGGAGTTTGGCGACGCTGAGGATGAGATCGTCCACGTCGACGCCGATCTCCCCGAGGGTACGCTCGAAGCCTTCGACGGTGAGGATGAGGCCGAAGCCGAGGCGGAAGCCGAGGCCGAAGCCGAGGCCGAGGCCGAAGCCGAGGCCCTGGCCAGCACCCAGCCGGACGAGGAGGAGCAACCTGCATACTGTGGACAGGATGACGAATGCGACGAAGAAGAGGTCGAGCTGGAGGTCGAAGCTGAGTACGCCTTGGAAGAGGCCGAGGCCACCGGGTTCGATTCAGTGGCTGAAGCCGTCCAGGCGATCCCACAGCCTCAGACGCCCGGGGAGGAGCCGCCGCAGTCCCCGGAATCCGCCGACCTATCGGAGAACCTGCCGCGGCACCGGACACTGCCCGCCCCAGCCCTCTCAAACTTTCGGCAGCACCGAGAAAGCTCCAGGAGAAGGTTCATCTCCTTTCACAAAGCGGATGTGCCCGACAGCTATCTCGTCGATGACCGGACAGGCCTCCGAGCCATCCACCCCCTCCTCATCTTTCGGGACGAGGACCTCTGGTTTGTCAACCCGGGGGCCGCAGTTGAGTGCGGTGTTTGCATGCGCTCGTGGCCTCAGGTAATGGGCAAGCTGCGGGGTGAAGAGGGACGATCCCAATTTGCGCAGACGGACTTCATCTGCAATTTCTGCTCAGAGAAAGAGGCGCAGCCGGGTCAGGAGGAAGCCGAAGAGGAGCCTGAGCATCCGGACACTTTGGCTTCGGAGGGGGCGGGGGGTTTGAGTGGACCCTGGGACAACCCTGACAGTGGCTGGGGCCATTGCTTCGGCACCAGTGAGTGAGGTTTTGTTGGTTTCAAGGCGCCCGCGTCGAGATGGCTCTCAACCCAAACCCCTTGGCCCCTAACTCGCCGTGCCAAGAAAGCAAAACTCGCGAAGGCCCTAAGCCCAAAGATTGCATCATGTTGCATCCACCTCGCTTCTCGACTTGGTGTGCAGCCTTCTTCCACGGTACTTTTGCCAGCGCAAGCGTGCGTCAGGAAAGATGCCAGCAGCGTTGCGCTGCCACCAGATCCGAACACGCTAAACCCAACACCTAGAGGCATTTACAGGCTTACTCCAGGAACTTACGAATGGGGGTTGTTCGAATAAAGCGGGGGCCAAATATCCCGACGAATCCTGAACCCCGAAAGGGGCCCCTCTGACTTCTAACGTAGTGCTTAGCGGGCTTAGGATGGATTGGGGGGGTCAAGAGGGTGCAGGGTTTCGGGGTGGGGTGGCTCTTGGGCATCAAGACCTGCAACAAGTCAGCTCACCCCTAAAAACTGTTGCTAGGGCTTGGCGTTTTTGAGAGTGTTGGGGCTGAGAGGCTGAGATGCAAGGGTGGTTGCGTTATCCTAAGCCTCGGCTCGGGGCAGGTGTACTGCCCTGTGGAGGAAGCCATCCCGCAGGACCCCTCTGGCAGTGCGAGCTCCTGTTTCCGCTTGATTGGAGTTAGGGCGTTTGAGGTTTGTGGCGGGTTGGGCCTGACGATGCATAAGGGGTCGAAAGTCGAAAGTGCTCATTGGCGTTGCGAGTCAGCTGCGTGAACCTGTCGCAAGCCAGTGCAGGTAGCAACAGCGCGGGTCCCAGTCCTCTTGTTGAAGGGTCCCGAGTGCGCCTGAAAGGAAAGTTTTGAGAAACTGTGGTTCCATGATGTCCATGTGGCTGTTTGAGCCGAAGTGCCTCCACCAAGGCACTGCGAACTTGCATCGAAGCGGCAGACCAGCAGAGTCCTGGCAGCAGAATGGGGGAGGGCCCTTGAGTTGAAGGTGCGCTCCCGGGACATGTGGGCGTTATCCGCAAACCCTTGTCTTCTTTTTTTAATGGCGAATATTTTATATAGATTTCTGCTTGTTTTTTAGTATCCGCGAAAGGCCCGCGAAAGCGCGGCGGAAGGCGCCGCGAAAGGGATAATCTGGTTGATAAAATATCATGCCCCTTAACCCTCAAACCCCAAACAAGTGCGTTTAGGGACCGCCCCTAAACGCACCCGTGGTGCAGGTTTCAGCCTATTTGTGGTTCATACTGATAGAATATCCTGCCCGAATATCATGCCCCTTAACCCTCAAACCCCAAACAAGTGCGTTTAGGGACCGCCCCTAAACGCACCCGTGGTGCAGGTTTCAGCCTATTTGTGGTTCATACTGATAGAATATCCTGCCCGAATGCGAGTGCGTTTAGGGACCGCGCCTAAACGCACCCATAGTGCAGGTTTCAGCCCTCATATTGATAGAATATCCTGCCCCTCAACCCTCAAGCCCCAGTGCGAGTGCGTTTAGGGACCGCACCTAAACGCACCCATGGTGCAGGTTTCAGCCTATTTGGGGTTCATACTGATAGAATATCCTGTCTCTTAAGCCGCAAACCCCAATGCGAGTGCGTTTAGGGACCGCCTTTAAACACACCCATAGTGCAGGATTCAGCGTATTTGGGGCTCATATTGATAGAACATCCTGCCCCTTAACCCTCAAGCCGCAATGCGAGTGCGTTTAGGGACCGCGCCTAAACGCACCCATTGTGCAGGTTTCAGCCTATTTGGGGTTCATACTGATAGAATAATTATCCTGTCCCTTAAGCCTCAAACCCCAATGCGAGTGCGTTTAGGGACCGCACCTAAACGCACCCATTGTGCAGGTTTCAGCCTATTTGGGGTTCATACTGATAGAATATCCTGTCTCTTAAGCCGCAAACCCCAATGCGAGTGCGTTTAGGGACCGCCTCTAAACGCACCCATGGTGCAGGCTTCAGCCTATTTGGTAGAACATTCTGCCCCTTAACCCTCAAGCCCCAATGCGAGTGCGTTTAGGGACCGCGCCTAAACGCACCCATTGTGCAGGTTTCAGCCTATTTGGGGTTCATACTGATAGAATAATTATCCTGTCCCTTAAGCCTCAAACCCCAATGCGAGTGCGTTTAGGGACCGCCTCTAAACGCACCCATTGTGCAGGTTTCAGCCTATTTGGGGTTCATACTGATAGAGTATCCTGCCCCTTAACCCTCAAACCCCAATGCGAGTGCGTTTAGGGACCGCCTCTAAACGCACCCATAGTGCAGGTCTCAGCCTATTTGGGCTTCACACATACTTTGTTTTGCTCCCCGACGAATGCATTTCAAACGCACCCATATGGGGCTTAGGGGATTTTATGCCTGATGCTTGAAAGCATTCGGGGATCAGGGGCAAAGTGCGTTTTGGAAGGCTTCAAAAATGCACGCTGATCCCTGTCGAGTGCAAAAACGCAGGCTTGGATGGTTGATGGCACGTGCTGGAGAGCAAGATCTCCGCGACTGACCGCGAAAGTGCTCCCTGATTTCACATTGTTTCTGAGAGGAAGCGCACGCTGAAAATGGCGAAAGGCACGCGAAAGGTCCGCGAAAGGGACGCGATTGGGCGACAGGTCCTGGAAAGGTATTGGCCAGCTGTGCTTCCAACTTCCATTAAATCTGGCTGATAGAATATCATGCCGATTAGCCCTCAAACCCGAAACGAGTGCGTTTAGGGACCGCGTGCAAACGCACCTATGGTGCAGGTTTCAGCCTATTTGGGGTTCATACTGATGGACTCTCATGCCCGTGCAAACGCATCCGTGGTGCAGGTTTCAGCCTATTTGGGGTTCGTACTAATGGACTCTCATGCCCCTGCACACCTCAAACCCAAGTGAGTGAGTTAAAACTACACTATGGGTGCGTTTAGGGGCGGTCCCTAAACGCAGTCGCATTGGGGTTTGAAGTGTTCAGGGGCATGAGAGTCCATAAGTACGAACCATAAATAGGCTGAAACCTGCACTATGGGTGCGTTTAGGGGCGGTCCCTAAACGCACTCGCATTGGGGTTTGAGGGTTAAGGGGCAGGATATTTTATCAGTATGCAACCCAAATAGGCTGAAACCTGCACAATGGGTGCGTTTAGGCGCGGTCCCTAAACGCACTCGCATTGGGGTTTGAGGCTTAAGGGACAGGATATTCTATCAGTATGAGCCCCAAATAGGCTGAATCCTGCACTATGGGTGCCTTTAGGGGCGGACTGCTTTCAGCACATTGATTCCCCTTCTTGGGATGAGAGAGCAAAGTGCGTTTTGAGGGTCCTGGAAAACGCACACTGGAGCTTGTATTTGGTTTTGTCGACCACTTGTCCACAAGCATTGAAACCAGCACATTGATTCCCCTTCTTGGGATGAGAGGGCAAAGTGCGTTTTGGGGGGCTTGGAAAACGCACCCAGCTTCCCTGCTGTATGTACTTGGTTATGTCGACTATATCATCGACGAAAACTCTATGATAGTGTTACGTCTCCGCGAAAGGGCGCGAAAGGTCCGCGAAAGGCGCGGCGCTTGGTGCTTTCCTGGGAACAAGAAAATCAGACAACCCCCATGTGAGCCCTGAGCACCTGCCCCCCCCCCATGAGCCCCGAATCCCCCGAAGTTCGTGTCGACTCAGCAATACTTCCGCGCCAAACCCTGCGAGGAAGTTTTTTCTTGCGACGCTTGCGGCGGACGGCTGAGCTTGGAGATGTGATGTGGGCCCTGATGGCTGGTTTGGCGTACCTTAGATTTTGGAAGTGGGCTTCCGGATCAGTTCGACGCGGCTACAACGGTTACACGTGCCCGAAGCCCCGAATCCCGTGCATTCGCCCGTGACCTCAACTCTCAGCCCCTCGAAATTGCAAGGAGCGTTCGGTTCTGCCACGATTTTGACTATCGTTTCAACACTGTTTACACAATGAAGAGGCCTCCTCTTGGTGTGGAGTAGGAAGGAAGGATTTTCAAGGTTTAGGGTTCAGGTTTCGGGTTCCAGATTTGGGTCATAAACCCTAAGATCATGCAGCAGAAGCCCTACATTCCCTAAAGCCCCAAACCCTAGATTCCTGAAGCCCTAAACCCTTACAGCCTGAAACCCAACACCGGGAGCTTTTCATGGTCAAGGGTCAACTTCCTTGCCGAGGCCGACGACCCAGCTGAGATGGTCGCCCGAGCCAAATTCGCAGCCTGACGAACATGGAGTCAGGGTTGGGTTTGGGGTTTAGAGTTTAGAGTTTAGGGTTTAGGGTGGCCTGTTCATTTCGCGTCGGGGTGTTTCTCGCTAGCTTTATCTGAGAAGCATACAGGGGCATGAGAGTTGTAAATATTTAGGCTCCTCTGCATGACAAGCCTACAGCTTGTGGGACAGCTTGATGTCTTGGGAGCCCAGTACCACCAGCAATTACAGGAGCTCAGGGCGAATTCGGCGTGGTCTTCACCGCCTCAATTCGAAGCCACAAAGTAGGTGGCCCTGTGTACTGGCCCCTTACGTTCCTCTTCGAGTGTGCGAGGCCCCCAACCCTCTAAACCCTAAACCCTTTTGCTGAGGTCTTGGAGTCGCCAGGGACCCAGTGGGCGTCCGCCATCTTCCGACCAGCATTCAAGAACACGCAGAGGAACTTCCAATCGGACCGATTTCCCTGCAGTGTGGCTAGTCTGCTTGGCAGGTGGCAAAAACCCTAAACCCTGAACCCTGAACCCTAAACCCTAAACCCTAAACCCTAAACCCTAAACCCTAAACCCTAGACCCTAGACCCTAGACCCTAGACCCTGAACCCTACCTAAGTCTCGCTCCAGGTTCGGCCCGCTGGCTCCCAACTGCGGCTTCCAGCTGCCCGGCAACTAAAAGTGATGAAAGAGTGGGTTTAGGGTGTAGGGTTTAGGGTTTAGGGTTTAGGGTTTGGGGATGGAGAGTATGTATCCGGACAGGCGTTCAAGATTTTTTAGGACGATTAGGAACGAGCCAGCAGGACTTGTGGCTGGGACGCCCAGCAGTCCTCTCACTCCCATTTGTTTTTGAGATTTGGGAACCCTCAACCCTAGAAATCCTGCAACCTGTAGCCAGTTTGGCTCAAGCACCCTGTAGCTCACTGCCCCTGTAGTGACTCTAGTTGTGGTCGGTTTAAGCCTCATGGTTTTCGGACATGAGCCCCTGTTCCACTCTTCCACCCGTTATGGAGGTCTTTACAACCTGTATCGCATTTTGGGCCGTGGGTTTCGGAGTACATTCAGCAGGCCTCCTTGGTGGCCTTCGTGTAGTTTACAAGCCATGGACTTTTCAGACTTTGTGGCGCATCCGGTTCAGCTCGACCCAAGGTTTCGCTGTGCCGTTGCGCCCGAGCATTTCATTATGCAACCCGCGGCCGCCATGACGTGGTGGATGCCACCGGGTTACACGAACCCGGAGAAATCGCAGATGCAGCAGCTGAAGCTCCTGGAGCTCCTTTGCCTCGAGGGCTCCAAAGAGTCCAGTGCAGGAACCCCGGAAGTTTCGCGCAATCAGGGGACAGAGGGCGACATCGGACCAACTGAACAGGCGTGGGAAGCACACAAGGACATGGCGGAGGCACTCTCCACACTATCACAGATTGCCGGGACTTGTGAGGTGTCATCGCTTGTGTCCGGTCTTCATTGCATGGCGAAGCTTTCGGACAAAGCTGCCTATGGCGCCATGGGAGGATTGGAGAATGTGCTAATTGACCAACGCCTTGCTCAAGTTCTGTCAGTGCTGAGGTCCAAGGCCCAGGGCATCACGACTTCGCGTGTCATCATGCGAACCATTTGGGCCTTCGGCAAGCTTGGAGTCAGAGGCAACGATGTGCAGGGCATCATCGCCCAGCTCCTTCAAGCCTCCAAGCCAATCATGCGCCAGTTTACGTGCCAGGAGCTTTCAAACACTCTTTGGGGCCTGGCCAGCTTGAGCGAGAGCCTATACATGCTTCAGCCGGAAGGAACTCAGCTCGCGTACTTGGTGATGATGCATTGCACGACGCGGCTGCCCCAATTCAGCACGCAGTGCCTCACCAACAGCCTTTGGGCTGTGGCGAAGCTGGGGCTCAAGGGCCAAGATGTGAAGACCTTCTGCAATCAGTGCCTCTTTTACATTAGGGAGGTGATGTTCCGGGAGATGTCACCACAGGGTCTGGCCAACAGCCTGTGGGCCTGTGCCAAGCTGCAGTCGGAGTCTCGGGTAGGGGCCCCTTTCGACAAGAAGGCAGTGAGACTCTTCTGCAGAGATGCGGCGCGACGGGCAAAAGTTTCCGCAAACCTGCTGAACCTCTTCTTCCCGCAGGAGCTTTCCATGGCGTTGTGGGGCATGGCAAAATTGATTGGGCGCAGGCCCCGTTCCCAGCCGAAAGACGATTGCTTCGAGGACGTTTCGAGGTTTGCCGAGTCTGTAGCTTCTGAAGCTGCATCGCGCATCTGCCAATTCACCCCTCAGGGCGTGTCAACCATCGCGTGGTCACTGGCGACACTGGATGTGATGAATGGCGCGGAAGTCTGCTATTTCTTCCAGGTCGCTATGGAGATCGCTTCGATGAATATCAGGGCATACTCCCCTCAGGCCATTGCAAACTGTTGCTGGGCCTTCAGCAACTTCTGCCGCCTAAGCCAAACGGGAGACGTGATGGCCTTTGGCAGAGTGGCCGCCAGCGAAGCCTTAAGAAGGATCGATGAGTTCTCATGGCAGGACTGCTCCGGCAGTATCAGCGCGCTGATGAACGCCACCCCTGAGAATGGTGCGGAGGTGCGCCAGCTCGCCACGGAGGTGGTGATTCGAGCGAGCCGGCGCTGCAGTGAGATCGGCACCCAGGCGCTCTTGAACATCGCTCTTGCGGGTGTGCGGCTGAAGCTCGAACGGGAGGTCATGATGCTCTTGGTGTACGAAATCGGCCAAGAATTCGATGGCCAGATGCACAGTTTGAACGACATCGATTTGAGGCAGTGGCAGGAAGTGCAGCGCTACTGTCACATTCATATTTCAGGCCCCACGGCTAGCAAGAAGAGTGGCCGGGGACACCGATGGTAAGTAAGATTCTGAGGCTTTCACACTGCTGGCCTGTCGGCCCGACGTAGAAAGCTGAAAAAGGCCTGAAGCTGTCCGGTTTCGCGAAGAGTGTCACCACACGAGACCGGTCAGGGTATGTGCAGGGGCGCTCTGCTGGATGCCGGTGGGTTCTGACAGGCATTTTTTTGTGAAGAACGTGCAGATAGTAGACAAGCACCCCTGTGCTTTTGGGCCGATGTACTCGTCTAACAGCCATTTGTCTTCTGGCCCTGCGGTCCCGAGTATGACAGACAACATGTCCGAGGTCATAAAAGGGAGCAGAGGCGTAGAAGAAATCAGGCGACACAAGCGAGTGGGGTGCGGTGCATGTGCCTCAGACTTGAAGTTGGGCAAGTCGTGCGTCTAAATTTGTTGGCCGCTTGTGTTGCTTGAGATGTGTCACCTACATCTTCTAGACGTACCGGTGCGAAGTTGCCAGAAGGTGCAGGCATACCAGTCGCGCCTTGCATGCCAATGAGACTTGAGCTGACTCGATGTATGGATAGTTTCAGTGGGTGTGCACGAGGCATTTAGGGAGTGAGTAACTTGTAACAATTCTTGCCTCACAAAGGGTGTTCTAGACTGCAGATCCAAGCTAAAAGCACCATCGTGCCCAGTTGCACGCGGTTTGCCAGTGCCACTTCACTTTGCACTTATGCAAGCTGCAAGCGGAAATCGCGCAGTACTGTAGGAGCAAGCCCCGCTAACACTGTCACGCCAGAACTAGCTTGTAACATGCAGCGGGGGGTCGTGGCCACCGAAGGCAATCTAAGCAGCATTACGTGTGCCACATGACCATCCAAATGCGCTTCCACAAGTGCCTGAGCAGTAAGCACTTTTGCGCAATCGAGCTTGCATATCAGACTTCAGAGCAAGGCAGATACTCCTACAAGCCGTGTCAGGCTTTGCGTAACTCTTCTGGTTATATATTACAAGTTGACTCTTTTCTTTTGTGCCAAGCGCCAGGGATGATGTGGGATGGAAGGGCTTGTCGGAGACCTTACTCTACCGTTGGTCACTTTCCCCGGCCTGGCTAAAGGAGCTGCAGCCCCCGGCAGCCGTTTGGAAAAGAAGCGCATTCCCTCTCCTTGGGTTTAGGGTTTAGGGTTTAGGGTTAAAATGGCTACGGCTCAAGGGTATTTCGGCTACGAGACCCAACGCGGGTAACTTGCAGGAACAATTCGTGCCAATTTGTCGTTACATCACTTGTGGACTCGTCCTCGCAATGGTGTCAGACAGGGACATGGGCAAGCTGTATTCGTGCCTCGGCTATGCTTTGCGGAAGGTGCGAAATTCCAATATCTCGTCCGAAGTGGAAAGCCTTTTGTGGGCCGCCATGAGTGTCCTCAGGCAACAGAGACAGTCGTCGCTGGATTCACATGCAGGGTGCAGCGTTCACGCACGGGTTCCCATCAAGTTGGTTGAGCATCTGACTCTGGTGAATCCTGGGCATGGCGATGCTCAAGCAGACGGCGGTGTTACAGCAGGACATAGCGGTGGCTCGCTGACAAATCCTGACACGTGCGCATGTGAAAACGAGGCTTTCGTTGCAGTTGGGCATACACACCTGGCTACAGATTCCAGATCGCATAGAGATATTTCAAACGTGGGCGCTGGTGCAAACGTGAAGCTCGCACCCCAGAAGGTGCATGACCGATCGGAAGCCAGAGGTGACGAGCTTACTGCCACGACCGTGGAAGCTATCCCGTCCTTCATTGAAGATCCGGAGGGCTTTGTGCACAGGTATGCCGCGCTAGCGGCTAATGATGAAGAGGCTGTAAGGGGCTTACAGTCGGTCCTGGCTGATCTTCGTGAAGAACATCGAAGACTCCCGCATGGTGCTCAGCGCTCATGGCTTATTCGTGCCTGCGTGTGCATTCGAGCAGAGATCCGCAACTATGGAGGCTGCCCGGTCTAGCAGGGGCGTTTATGTCTGAACCAGTGAGGAGTGGGCTATGCAATCTTTTCAGCCGTTAATCCATGAACGGCTCTTTCGTCAGTTCTCATATGTAGTCCTGTTTAATAGCATCAGTTCATCATGGGCTCGTCAACTGGCCCGTTTGTCATAGACAAGGGTGAGTTTCATTCTTAGGGTTGTGACCTCATCATCCAGGCGAGGACCTTCTGCAAGCCTGCTGCAAAAGGGTTTAGGGTTCAGGGTTCAGGGTTTAGGGTTTAGGGTTTGAAGCTCCAAGCTCCAAAGGCCAGGCGCTGAACACAAGCTGGGAATCGTGCACAATGGAACGCACTACGGAGAATTCGATGTAGCTTGGGCAGGCTGCTTCGTTCGGGCAAGTTCTGTTGCCGACAAAGTGCATCGTCCAGCATAGTGGCATTTTTAGCAGGAATGCCCCCGACATGCGGTTACTAAAGCTAAACCCTAAACCCTAAACCCTAAACCCTAAACCCTAAACCCTAAACCCTAAGCCCTAAGCCCTAAACCCTAAACAAGTTACGCAGCAGAACTTGCCGATACGACATTCGCCTGCGAGAGAATCAGAGCTTGTTCGACTAAAGCCTTTCTTTGTTGTAGGCCTGCGAAGTCACATGGCCTGCTTCCAAAGTTGAAAAGACTGCTTCGCCCCTAAACCCAAAACCCAAAACCCCAGATCCTAAACCCTCAACCCCAAACCCCAAATCCCAAACCCTAAACCCCAACCCTAAACCCCAAACCCGAAACCCCAAACCCTAAACCCTAAACCCCAAGCCCCAAACCCTAAACATCCCTAAACCCTAAACTCAATGGTCGTTTTTCGATCCTTGCCAAGAGCATCATACGAGCCACAGGTTGGCCGGAGCTCCCGGAGGCGTGACTTGAGGGTTTTGGGTTTTGGGTTTAGGGTTTAGGGTTTAGGGCTTAGGGTTTGGGGTTTGGGGTTTAGGGTTTGGGGTTTCGGGTTTAGGGTTTAGGGCTTAGGGTTTGGGTTTGGGGTTTCGGATTTTTCCTGGCAGTTGTCCGCAGTCCAGTGGCAAAAGGGTTTAGGGTTGAGAGAGTGTGGCTTAGGGGCAAAAACGTTCAGGATTTGGAGTTTCATTTGAAGGGTTTGGGGAATTTTGCACGTCCTGGTGCACAGGGCTTGGAGTTGATGTTTCAGCGCCAGCCTTTGAGAAACTCTAGACTTCAAAACTGCCTGGTTTGTCCGAGCTGTTGGGAGATGCCCAAATCCCGAAAAGAGGCCTTGGCACGCTCACGGCGCTGAGGCGCGCCTTTCCGTCACAGCCACCGTGGCCGCACCAGTGTCTGCAGAGCGTGGGGAAGGGCTAGGTCCAGCACCTAGGGGCTTGTGGGTTGAGGTTGAATATTCTTGGGCTTCCAGGCTCGTGGTGGCTTGTGGCAGAAGCAAAAGCCTTTTGGCAGTTCGCCTACACGTCACAGGGCGTGACCTGGGACGCAACCAAGCTCTGCCCCGCTGGACAATTCTCTGGCGCATTTTCCGTGAGCTTTGCGACCCTAAAAGACTCTAAACCCCATGCCAAAAAAAGCCCTAAATCCTGCTTGGCGGGTGGCAAAAACCCTAAACCCTCGCGCGCCCAGGTTCCTCCACTATCACGCAGCAGGAATCGGTTGCAGCTGAGGGTCGGGGAGGTTGGTAGTTTCAGGACGCAGGCTTTTTTGATTCGAGCTCACGCATCTGCGTTTGCTTTTGTTCCCCGGGAAGCGGCTGGGAAGCTGCTTCCTGTGGAAGTGAGCATGTGGCCTCAGGTCGTGAGGAGTTCATCGTGCTTTTGGGGTCAGGCTTCAGGAGGGACCCCCCTGCTGGTGCGCAGGATCAGTGGCTGCCCAAAGTCTCCAGACCAGGCAAGGGGGAGCGCGCCCTCCAAGATCGGAGTTGGGGTGTCCCTGAAAAGGGTGTGTGAAGCTGTGCCAGGGCTCGAAATGGCCCAGGCAATGCTCACATGTTGCAGGGTACAACGGGGAGGTGGCCGAAGTAGGTGGCGACGAGATGCATTCCAACCGCTGAGAAGGGCAATCGTGCTGGGATGAGTGCAGCTTCACTGTCTCAAGACCTGGATCGCCTGAATTCAGAATCCGGACACTGCAAAGCCCAATTTCCAACACTCATTCAACCGAAATGCAGAGGCAACTTCGAATGACCTTTGGTAACCGCACCGTACAACTTCTTCCCCGAAAGCCAAAGCCTTGTCTGTGCAAGGCGTGGCTACTCTGCCTTTGTGCACAGCAAGCTGTCGCGCATTCTTGGCGCGAGCTCTGCTCTGGTGGCCATCGACCTCAAGGCAGCACGGGGTTCTGTTGAGGTAAGCTGGGCATCTTGTGGGCCCTGGAAGGGCGGAAGGTTGATGGAAATGACGCGCCGGAGAGAGTTCGGCGGTGATGGCGCGCGCGCGCGGGTGTGTGGGTGTCTGTGCAGCGCTTGAGGTTGGCCTCTTCCTGTTTTGCGAGTTAACACTGGGACACATCCGAGAGTAGTATGCTTGGAAGGGCTGCTGACAGTCAAGTTGCCGGCCCGCAGCTTGGCTCAATCTCTTGGCGAGGACACATTCTCAGTCTCGTACCTGGCAGCCAGCGCACTCGCTGCACAGTTCAACACGCAGGTGTTTGCATTGCAGATTAGCCGTCGGCAGAATAGCTCAGGATACTGGCAGCCTAAGATCTCGACACGCTGTAGTGCTACTGAGTCTAAACTCCCGATGCTCACCTGACATCAACTCCTTCCGGTCGCGACTAGGGCCTCGAACGTGCCGCTGGCCTGCACACATCTTGTCTTGCCTACATGTCGGGGGAGAGTTTGGCAAAGCCAGGGTCAGCCAGGCATTGATGTAACGGAGTTTGAGTTCGCGCCACGATGACGTGATTGGCTGCAAGACTGCCTGTGTCTACCAGTTGGGATACGTGAACGCCTCACCCTGGAACCCGGAGCGCCCAAGAAAAACTAAAGCACCACACACAGAATGACAGAGAGACAGACAGACAGGCAGACAGACAGAGACAGAGAGACAGAGAGACAGAGAGACAGAGAGACAGAGAGACAGAGAGACAGAGAGACAGAGAGACAGAGAGACAGAGAGACAGAGAGACAGAGAGACAGAGAGACAGAGAGACAGAGAGACAGAGAGACAGAGAGACAGAGAGACAGAGAGACAGAGAGACAGAGAGACAGAGAGACAGAGAGACAGAGAGACAGAGAGACAGAGAGACAGAGAGAGAGACAGAGAGAGAGAGAGAGAGAGAGACAGAGAGACAGAGAGACAGAGAGAAAGAGAGAAACAGAGACAGAGAGAAAGAGAGAAAGAGAGACAGAGAGACAGAGAGACAGAGAGACAGAGAGACAGAGAGACAGAGAGACAGAGAGACAGAGAGACAGAGAGACAGAGCGACAGAGAGACAGAGAGACAGAGAGACAGAGAGACAGAGAGACAGAGAGACAGAGAGACAGAGAGACAGAGAGGCAGAGAGACAGAGAGGCAGAGAGGCAGAGAGGCAGAGAGGCAGAGAGGCAGAGAGGCAGAGAGGCAGAGAGGCAGAGAGACCGAGAGACAGAGAGACGAGAGACAGAGAGACGAGAGACAGAGAGACAGAGGAGACAGAGAGTGACAGAGAGACAGAGAGGACAGAGAGCAGAGGGCGGCCAGAGAGACCGAGACAGGAAGAGACGAGAGACAGAGAGACGCAGAGAGACAGAGAGACAGAGGAGAAGGAGACAGAGAAGAGAAGCAGAGAGACAGAGAGGAAGAGAGTGACAGAGAGACAGAGAGGACAGAGAAGAAGGACAGAGAAGACAGGGACAGAGAGGACAGAGAGAAAGAGACGACAGAGAGACACAGAGAGGACAGAGAGAAAGAACAGCTACAGAGCGACAGAGGGACAGAGAGAGCCAGAGAGACAGAGAGACAGAGAGAAAGAGGGAGGACAGAGAGGACAGAGACACGAAAGAGAACCAGAGAGACAGAGGACAGAGAGAGACAGAGGAGACAGAGAGACAGAGGACAGAGAAGGGGACAGACAGACAGACAGACAGACAGACAGACAGACAGACAGACAGACAGACAAACAGACAGACAGACAGACAGACAGACAGACAGACAGACAGACACAGAGAGACACAGAGAAGAGACGGAGAGACGGAGAGACACAGAGACAGAGACAGAGACAGAGAGCAGAGAGACAGAGAGACAGAGAGACAGAGAGACAGAGAGACAGAGAGACAGAGAGACAGAGAGACAGAGAGACAGGGAGACAGAGAGACAGAGAGACAGAAAGACAGAGACACAGAGCGACAGAGAGACAGAGAGACAGAGCGAGAGAGGGAGAGAGAGGGAGAGAGAGGGAGAGAGAGAGAGAGAGAGAGAGAGAGAGAGAGAGAGAGAGA